TTTGATTTATTGTAGAGATGAGGTCTCGCTGCCCAGGCGGGTCTCGAACCCACAGGCTCAGGCAATCCACTCACCTCAGCCTCCCAAAGGCGCGGGATTACAGGCTGAGCCACGAGCCCGGCTTGACCCCTTCTTCTTTGTGGGAGCCTCAAATTTTCCCTTACTGAGGAGCCTCCCAAAATGCTGAGATTACAGGTGTGGGTCACCGTGCCTGATCCCAACCTTCTGTTTCTAAGAGAATTGTGACTCCTCCTAGAAAGGGTGGGGCAAGGACCAGTCATGGTGGCTCACACCTGCAATCCCAACCTTCCCTAACCCTCCCCCACTGCCCCTTTTTTTTTCTTTGCATTAGAGTCTCATTCTGTCACCCAGGCTGCAGTGCAATGGCATGCTCAGGGCCTCCCCAGCATCGACCTCCTGGGCTCTGGCAATCCTTTTGCCTCAGCCTTCCAAGTAGCCGGAACTACAGGAGTGCACCACCACGCCCAACTATCTAATCCCCTTTTAAGTTAATGGAATCGGGTTGCGTCTGACAAGCGATGCCAAAGAAACATTCAGGCCACCAAGCTGATAGTAAAGGGGTGTGGCTGACATTGACAGTTCATATATAGAAGGGGCCCACAAGCCCAAGTGGTGCTAAGTTGATGACATTGCGCTGGTGGCATTTCATCTTAATTTGCACTCCCAGATGGTGCTGAAAGTGCCTTTGAAAGGATCCCAGTGATGCACCACCCAAACAAAAAAGCTGCAGAGAAATATGGCCACCACATGACAGGCTATGCAGTGAAAGGATGTGGAATGGCCAAGTTCCTTGAAATAGCTCACAGGCTTCAAAGGCCTGGAGAGTCTCTGGTTACCAAGCACGCTTCTAAAGGTCCAACTTCCCTAGTCACTGGATCTCTCTAAAAGTTACATTTCTTCTCAGGAAAATGAGATGATCTCTTGTGGAGGGAGAATTAAATGTTGTGAGAATTAAATAAGATAATTCATACAAAGCAGGGATCCCAGACTCTGGCACTTATGAAATGCTCCTCTGGCCTCTAGTCTGGCTGGGATGAACTTCCACTTACATGGAGCCCAGGACCCAAGAGTCTCCTGGTGGACTATCTTCCTGCTCGCAGGCTCCTGGGACAGCCCTTCTGGACCCCCAGGTTTCGCACCCTGCTGCCCTCATCCACGGGCCACTCAACCTGCCCCCAAATACTAACTCCCCCCTGCATACAGTAGATCCTTTCCTTTAGGTCAAAGGTCACACGGTCAGGAAGCCCATCCTTCTTTATCTTTGTGTCCCCAGAGTCCATTACAGGGCTTGGCACATAGCAGGTGCTGAATGTAAGTTTGTGGAAGGAGGGAGGGAGGGGATCCAATCCCAGGGTCCCTCAGGGAAGCCTCCCCTCCCCCTCCCAAGCAAAGTTTGCTGCTCCCTTCTGGCTGTCCTACTGAGCATCCATGCAAATACTAACACACCCTGTAAGCCTCTGCTGTGTTGCCAATAACTGCCTGTCTTCCTCACAGGAATGGGAGCTCTTCTAAACCTACGCCTGGGGCTTACTCACCTCTAAGTGCCCATTGCTGGCCCTGGGCCTTCACATAGAGTGTTTGTTGAATTGAATTAAAGTAAGTTGGATTGAATCGTGAGATGAGAAAGATGTACCCACACAGTTCCTGATTGTCCACAGTTCCTGACTCTGGGACATATGGGAGGCTAACCAGGGGATCCCCATCTTATCCCTCCATAGCGGGCAAAGCCAGAGGGGTCAGAATCAGGTACAGAGCTGAGGGATGGGAGTAGGGGATTATAGGGGCAACGCTTTGTTAACTCTCCCACGAACCTTCATGGAGCCTGTAAACACCTCAGTTTGTGCAGGAGGAGGAAGGCAGGGCCCAGTCCTCCACACACAGGTGTAAGGTGGGGGCCAGGGGGCATCACCTGAGCAGACAGACTGGGGGTGGGGAGAGAAGCGTGAAATATGTCCTCAGTCCCCATGAACACAGCTTCAGCATCTCACTTTGTCTTGAACAAGAAGCTCATCTCGCAGAGGGACATGGGTCAGAGTTGGCAGCCCCAGAGGGCGTGTTGGCATCTGCACGTGGATGATCTCATTGGATGCTCACATTTTCGGATGTGGTGAGGCATAGGCTACGGAGAGGTTAAGGCGCTTTCCCGAGGGACCCAGCTACTAAGTGGCTAGGCAGGATTTGAGCTCGGCTAGACTGGTTCCCACTCCTACAACCTAAAGCATAATGGCAATCCCCTCCCTTCCTGCTCTGCCCTCCCCTTGGTCTGCCCTCCTCAGGCCCCCACCGCCTTCTATGTTAGGGCAGCCCTACCTGCTTCACACAGATCTTTCCTCCCAACTTTCTCTCCTGAGCAACTAATTCTCACCTTCCATCCACGGGGCTTTTCCTTTCCAGACATCAAAGCGTGGCAGCAAGAAGCTAACTCTGGGACAGATAGACCTGGGACCGGGTCAGTCCCCAACATTTTTTCGGTACCTTCTATGTGCCAGGCATAGTGTGACCCTAAACAAGTCCCTGAACCTCTGAGTCTCAGTTTACCAATCTGAACCCAGGGATATTGATACTAGTGACCCCATCGGACTGCCATGTGGATTTATCTGTGGGTATAAAGTGCCCAGCATGTGCCAGGACTCAGTAGGGGCCTCTGAGAGATGTTCCTCAAGTCATCCTTGCCCTTTTCTCTTCCAGGCCTGAAGTCTAGCAGATGGAATAACTTGTTCTATAGCTGGAGAAACTGAGGCCCAGAAAAGACACGCGACTTGCCAGAGGAAAACCTTGAGGTGGCTGTGGAGCCCCAGTGTGCCAGGTTCCCATTGCCCAGGCCTCAGCCCCACCCCTGGGCCCACTGGTGAGTGGACTGCTCACTCCGCTTATTGTCTGGAACATCCTTGGCCCCAGCAGCATAAACAAGCAGGCCGGAGGTGAGTGTGTACATTCAGCTTTATTTCTTTCCATGCTAAGAAATACAGAGGCGTCACTGGTGTGTGTGGTGATGGCGGTGTGAGGTTCTTGCTGCTCCCTATGGGACATGGGAGAGGCTGGGACTGTGCCCTGAGCAGGGACCTCCTTGTTCATGCAGTTGTCGGCTGGACTCAAGATGGAGCAGCAGGACCACTGTCCCCTCCAGCCTCCGCAGGGCCTGAGTCACCAGGCTGGCTGCCTAGGGCAGGGGCTGTGGAGATGTTCCTTCACAATCTTCTCGCATCCAGGATGACTTTCTCCTCCATGGCCCCAGCCCTCCTCCTGCCCTAGGGCTCTGGGCTTCTGCGTGATGTCCCTAGCACCCTAGGAAGTGCTCAAGCCATCCTTGCCTAAATGGAAAAATGTCCCACTGTGCCCATTCTCAGGGCTGTCTACAGTAACTTCACCTTAGTAGGGTCCTCGGCTGTCCCGCGTTTTGAGTGTAAACAAGTATGTGCATGTGGGATGGAGGGAGTGTACAGCAGAGCCTGTGGGAGGGGTGAGAAGGCGTGGGGGCAGAGTTCTGGGCATGCGTGACACTTTGGGCCACACAGAGGCTACACACAGAGTCCCTCCTCCGCATCATGTTCCCCATGTGACAATCCCTCAACCATGCATCTGGTTTGTTTCTCTCTCCTCTCTGGGTTACTGAAGCTGGGGACCCCTGGGGCCTTCTTTACAGAGTTGCAGCTTGTGAGTGGCCTCTTCCCTTCCCTGACCTGAGCTGACTTCACAAGTGACACAAATACTCTGGGCCCACATCCTCCCTCTCCTGAAAAACACCTCAAAGTTTCCCTAAAGAAACCCAACCACTCCCTGCTTTAGGACCGAGAGAGGTTGGAGTTTATTTCCCAGGTGGGGCACTGAAGTAGGGACACCAGCCCCAAAGGGATCCACCAGCACCCGGGAGCTCTGCCCTGTTTCCTTCCGCCCACCTCCCACCCCGGTCACATGGACCCTGACTGGAAGGCTCAGAGCTGCAGCTACACATAGGACCCAGAGCCTCTCCCAACAGACAGCGACTCTGTACTGACCTGCTCTTCTTTTCCTGGACAGGAGGCATGAGAGTCCTGATGGGACATAGGGGACACAGACTTTGCCAGACTTCAGGCCCATCTGGCTGTGGCTGGGAACCTGCCTTTCCAACAAGTCAATGACCCTGGCTGCTAGGCAGGGCCTCCCAGGGTGGAAAAGCCCAGAGCACCCCTTTCCAGGGTCCGGAAGCTGAAGCCAGCAGGACAGGCAGGAGCAGGCGGGGTCTCTGTGGATAGATCCTGTGCCAGGGGGAAGTCTGGGGAGAATCACAGGGCAGAAACAAAAGAGGAGGACAAGGGCTCTGCTTGGTTCCTTTCAGGGGTCCCATCAGGTCCTAAGACACAGAGGTCACCGTGTCTAGCTCCCTGCCTCTGGGCACATGAGTATATTCCCAAACCCGGGCCCCCCATGTTCCAGCAGACTGGACCCTTCAAACTGAGCCCATTCCTTTGTCTCGGGAACCTCCAACCCAAGAAACAACAAACTTTCATGAAAACTCTCTGGCTCACTCATTTGCAGGTGGTACAAACACCCCTCACAGCCTGGGAGTCCATGAGAAGTCCCACCAGAAGTGGTCGGGGTGGGGGGGTGCTTTGCTGTTGGTGGATGGCCTGGGGCACAGGGCCAAGCACAGAGCATCACATGGGGCTGGCCTGGGAGCCTGAAGTCATGTAACCCCCTGAGCCACCTTCACATGGGGCCCAAGCTTGTACCCTAGACCATTGAGGAGGCCCCTGCAGGATGAGAGCTCAGGCTCTGACCTCACCCAGCCAGCTCACTTGTGGCTGCGTCAGGTCCCAAGAGTTCTCGGTTGGTGTCCCAGGCTACAGCATAGATAGGACGCAATAGGCTGACTGGGTTGCCCTAGGAGTCACACTGGAACCAGAGTCCTGGGCAGAGATGCTTCTGAAGATGAAAACTTTGCAAAGAGGCCTGCAGGTCATGCTGTCCCTGTCCCTGTTTTCGCTAGCATTCCTCTCGGTGCCTCCACCTTGCAATAGAGGATTAAGTGTGGAGGCTGCCTCTTTCCAAGGAGCTACACACCTTGTGTGCCTGAGGGGATCCAGGGCCTGTGCTGAGCTCCAGCACCAGCTGGGATTGCATGGGCATGTGGCACAAAGCATGCAAACAGTCTGTTTTGTCTCCCCTCAAGAAAAATACAAAAGATAAAGTCCCTACTGGTCCACAGGTGCAAAGGGACTGTGCTACTTCTCTCCCTGCATAGTTTGTCTTGTTTGTGAGGCTGGTTTCCTTCTCATTCTGGCTGTTTCTGCTGCTTGGAAGAGTCCAAAAAATCATGGGGATGAGAAACAAACCAGAGCACTGGGGTCAAATGCCGGTACGTGTCCATGAGACAAAACCACATTCTTCTTTGGCTTCACAGTGTTGCCCTTCCTTCCTTCCTTCCTTCCTTCCTTCCTTCCTTCCTTCCTTCCTTCCTTCCTTCTTCCAGATCTTCCCATCCGATGTGGGCTGACAATGAGGTGACCTGGGGGCTTCCCTCCGAGTTTGTGCTTTTGGAACTTGGGGACAGGTGGATGCTTGGCACTCACCACCCAATCCTCCTATGTGGGGAGGATGTGGGTTGAGCTCTCCAGCTGGCCAGGGCCTGCCTCTGCTAGCACAGCTCCCTGGTTAGTTTTATTTCTTCTGAACTGTAAAGAAAGGAAAAGTTATAGCAAAACAGAGCTCAGAACATTGGCTCTTCAAATCCCTGATCTGAGGATTTGGGTGTCTGTTTCCTAGTGGGAAATGGTAGCAGGACTAAGGTACAGGGCTGGGGATCTCTTTGGTTTGAGGCTCTTGGTGAAACTGAACTCCTTCCAACTAGAAGACTTCAGCCTCAGTGATTGACCCAAAGGTGGGCCGATCAGAATCGGTCCTGGGATTTTTGCTATAACTGTTGACAAAGAGGCACTTTTCCCCCTACTTAGCTACTGTATTGATTAAAATGTGTGCCGTGGCCAGATGCGGTGGCTCATGCAAATAATCCCAGCATTTCAGGAGGGAGGATCACTTGAGCCCAGGAGCTAGAGACCAGCCTAGGCAATACAGCAAGACCTCGTCTCTACAAAAAATAAAAAATAAAAGATTAGCTGGGCATACATGCCTGTAGTCCCAGCTGCTTGGGAGGCTGAAGTGGGTGGATCGCCTGAGCACAGGAGGTCAAGGCCGCAATGAGCCGTGATTGTGCCACTGCACTCCAGCCTGGGCAATAGAGCGAGATGCCAACTCAAAAATAAAATAATAAAATAAAATATGTGCCATCCTTAGGGCTGCTATTAGAGCTGCTGGCTGCCATCTCACCATCATAAGGAGAGATCCTGCCTAGGACAAAGCCAACACAGTGGAAAGAAGACAAGAAAGTGAGACAGATTCCTGTCAACATCATTTGAGCTCCTGGACACAAACGTGCGTAAGGATGGAACAATCTATACTTCAATTTTATAGTGAGAGCTAACAAATTCCCTTTACCAATTTGAGTTCGGTAGTTGTCACTTGCCATTGAGAGAGTCCTGGCTAAAATGACAGGCAGCAGCTGGACAAAGGAGACTGAGGCATCAGAAAGTGACTCTGAGGCTAATGCCCTGGATGGCCTCCTGCCTTGCACATACCTGCGTGTCAGTCAGACTCAGCACCAATGGAGGAAACTCAGAACATACTTCAGTTCCCACAACTAGAAAGTGCAGGACCTGGCTTCTGAATCCAGGCAGGCTAATGACAACCCCAGGCACTTCCCTCTCCTAAGTGACCAGGGTTGCCCACAGCCCCACAGCTGAATCCCAGGCTTTCTATTGAGCTGAGAATCTTATTAAAATGCAGATTCCAGTTCAGTGGATCTGAGAAGGGGCCTGAGAATCTGCATTTCTGACACAGTCCGAGGTGACTTCCTACTGCAGGTCCACAGGGCACATTTTGAGTAGCAAGGTCTTCAGGGGAAAAGCTCAGGCTGTTCACTGAACTGGGCAGAGATGCTTGGGGGCTTCCCAGGGTGCATGTGAGAAGGGAGGAAAATGGACACCTCTGACCTGAATAGCCCCCAAAGTAGCCTCACAAAGCTACACGGGTTTCACGAGCAGCTGAGAGGTCACCTTTGAAGATGGCTCCCTGCTTGATAACTTCACTGGGCCATCTTTGGGTGTCACAGAAATGTTACTTCCTGGATTCCACCATACACATGGCTTCCTTCTAGTATATCCTGGCTGGCTGCACCGGGAGTCTTATGTACCAAGCCCACAGTTTACAAAGCACAGTCACAGCCATTGTCTCAGGTAAGGCTCACAAAAGCCAGTGCTGTAGACTTCTTCCTGCTACTTGATACATGAACATACTAAGACTCAGTCAGACAGGACGCTGACCTGAGCCCCGGGACCGTCAGAGCTGAGCTGGAGCTCATGGCCTCTGACTCCTAGACCAGTGCCACACCCACACCGTTTTATGTTGATTTGCTCTCCAGGCATAAGGCAAGTCAGCAAATGGATCCACACTCACTGCTCACTGCTGGGGACTGGGTCACTTTTCCAGAGTGAGAGGATAAGGTTGTGGCTCCCCAGAGGCCTTTACACTTTCCCCCAACCCTACCTAAAGGGCCAGGCTATGCCCTTGGGCAGTCCTCACACCTGGCAAGCTGGCTCCCTCCACTGAGGGGCTGAGTCTCACCTGCAAAGTTGACGGTCAAGGCCACAATGATGATGACAATCCCCAAGGTGATCAAGGTGATGCTGAGCAGCCGGGCCAGGCGGCCCAGTCTCCGGGCTCCATCACGGTCTCCCTGTTGCAGGCTACTTCGAGACTGTGGAGAGATGACAGCAGAGACCTCAGGAAGGCTGCCTATCTGCCATGCAGGCCCAGGTAACCCTGTGATAGCCCCTAGCCTAGGCTTCCAGACACACCCATTCCCGCTACAATCCACACTCCAGCAGCACCCCCAGGGAAGAGGAAGAGGGCTCCCTGTGGAGAAGTGGCCTGGGCCTCTTGTGGGAAGCCTGAACCAAGCCAACTCCTCGCCGCCTGGGGATAGCTGAGGTAGAACCAAGCAAAGAAGGGCACTTCTTCTCAGGACGGTGATGAGGCAGGGTTAGGGGCAGGTGGAGACTGAGGCCCTGAGGGGATGGACGAGGGTCAGGCCAACTGGCAGAAGCAGACAGATCAGGCCCCTCAGAGCTCCTGTGGGCTCAGTTCTGCAGCTGCACTGGGCTCTGAAGGCAGCCCCCGTAGCTTTTTTTACAGCCCAACGTGCCTGCCTCCTTTCCTCTGTAAGCCCCCCTTTTGCCATGAAAGAAAAAAAGGCACTGGCTTTGCTGCCTCTATTTCCCACCCAAGAACCACATCTTTGTTCAATCAAGCCCACTTCCTGGATTACACAAGAAAGGGAAGGCATCTTGCAGTTGGCTGGAAAGGCCGAGGTAGAGCCATGTGTGGCTTCACAGGGGCTTGGTTTTATGTATCACTCCTTTCTGGTGAGCTCTGTTTTTCCTGAACTTAGTGAATCGATGGATGAGGATGGGGATGGAGAGTCTAGGGACAGAGAGGATCCTGGAAGGGTCCTGGGGTGACTTGGTCAGAGGAGTGTCCCAAGCGTCCCCAAAGGTGGCTCTTTGTACCTGCATGGGATGATCTGGGGTCAACCTGCTAGCCATGGCTGGCCCAAGGTCTTTAGACATCTCCAGCTCTAGAACTCCCTTTTTTCTTCCTGGACTTCTTAGACTCCTTGGACTTGCTCCAGAGTCCCAAGAAAAAGGCATAGATAGGAGTCTGCTAATAGTGTGATGGATTTCATGGCCTCATATCCTTTATTTTTTGATTGTTTGAGACTACTGAGTTCAGCCTGGACATGTAGTTTTTTGTTTTGTTTTATTTTGTTTGAGTCAGAGTCTCACTCTGTCACCCAGGCTGGAGTGCAGTGGCATGCTCACAACCAACGCAACCTCGACCTGCCAGGCTCAGGTGATCCTTCTGCCTTAGCCTTCTAAGTAGCTGGAACCACAGACGCATGCCACCATGCCCAGCTAATTTTTTTTATTATTTATTGTAGCGATAAGGTCTTGCCAAGTTGCCCAGGCTGGTCTTGAACCCCTGGGCTCACCTCTGCCTCCCAAAATTCTGGGATTACAGGCATGAGCCTCCACGCCTGGCCAGGATATGTAGTTAAGTATTATAATGATGATGGTGAACGATTGAGCTCCCACTGGTGTCAGATGGCTTGCTAAGGACTGTACCTAGATTTTCTTATTTGGGCTCAGAATCATCCTAGAATGTTGGCCATTGCTGCCCAGTTCCCTGAAGAAGAAGTTGGGGTTCTGTGAAGCAACTCTTCCTCTCTCTGCTGTCTTTATGCAGCCTCACCCCACCCCAGTGTCCTGTCCTCTTCACTTCTCAGAATTCTATACAAACTCCCACCCAACTCTGCACTTTTATTTGAAGCTCCTTCCAGGACATGTGACATCAGACTCGATCTGCTCCTTGCCTGTGGGTCCCTTCCCCTTGCCCAAGCCCCCATTATTGGGAACAGCCTGGACTCCTTCTTCTCAGTGACAGCTTCTCAGTGCCATTCCACTTGCTAGTGGGTTTTCTCTCCTGGTCACTTCTATCGCCCATGTCCTGTCTTTCTTCCTCATACCTGCCCCAGTTCCAAGTACCACTTTTCACCCGAACTGTGGACAGTTCCCCAAAGAGCCCCCCAATTCCAATCTCTGTTTCTTTTCATTCTCTCCCCCCATACCACCATTTCATGCCACAGGGATAGCAGGCACTGTACTAGGCCCTGGGATGCTACTGTGTGCAAGAGAGTCCCAGTTCCCATGCTCACAGAACATACAACCAGCTGGTCCCATGATTACACAAATAAAGGTAAAATTACTATGGTGGATAGCATTACAAAGGAGAGGCACATGGTATCTTGAGAGCTTATAAAAGGGGACAGTCAGGAAAGACTTCCTGGAGGAAGGACATTTGAGTTGAGATGAACAGGATGAGCAAGAATTAAAGAGATTTTTTTTTTCTAAAGGAAGGAGAGTATTCCGGCAGCAAGAATGCAATGTGCAAAGGCCCTGCACGGCGAATATGCAGATGCTTCATAAGCAGTTGCTAACTGAGAAGTAGGAGGCACTAGACGAAGGCCCATGTGGCTGGAGCTAATAGAGTGGGGATGAGGAGGCCACAGAGGTGGGCAGGGCAGGGCCAGGCTGGAAGGAGGCTGGTCCTTATCCCAAGAGCAGTGGGGGCCAGTGAAGGCTGTAAAGTGGGACAGGGAAATAATGTGACTGGCTAACAGGCTTCCAAAAGACTCCCCTGTCTGTAGTGTGGAGACCAGAGGGGAGACAGAGGCAAGCCAGGAGCTGCCGCAAAATTTCAATGAGGAGATGGTGGCTGAGGCAATCACACCTGCTCAGCATCTTTTGTGGCTCCTTATTGTCCAGAGAGCAAAGTCCAAGCTCAGGCTGGCTTTACATTTCCTGCTTTCAGCCTCTACTATTCTCTTCCACAACCTCTGAGCTGCTCGAGGTATGAGCACTGACCTCCTTAGGTCTTTGCACTTATAGTTCTCCTGCTTGCATTCAGTTACCCCACAGCACCACATGTCCAAATCCTCCATCCTCCAAGCAGGGGCTCCAAGGCCACCTCCTCTGTGAAGTCCACCAAAGATTTCTTCACCTCTGCTGGAATAATAACAAACCCTGACATTTCTTGAACACACATCTATGCCAGGAATTATGCTAAATGTTTGTCCTCCATTAGAACTTTTCATCCTCCTCACACTCTGATGATGCAGGGACTGTGATTAGCCCATCTTACAGACAAAGACATGGAGCTGGGGCATAGAGCATGATATGGGCAATGGTAAGAGAAACAACCGATGAAGAGGAGAAAGGCCAGATCAAGAAGGGCCCCGCCTGTCACATAAGAGAGTCTGGATTTTGTCCCAAAGGCGTTGGGAGCCAGTTAAAGATTTTAAGTGGGGACAAAGCCAGATTCACATCTTAGGAATGATCTCTCTGACTACAGTGAGAGTGCATCCACAGGTTTTGGTGACAGATGAAACGGAGTGTGGGAGAGGGACGCAAGTAGGGTGATTCCCAGGTTTCTGTCCTGGGTGCTGGATGAGCAGAGATGCCCTTCCTCAGCTGGGAGGAAGAGGGCCCTGCTGTGTTGGGCCTGTCCAGGCAGAGGTGCCTGCATACCATTAGTGTGTAGCTGCGGCTGGATAAACCGGTCCAGAGAGCAGGAGTCCTTGGCATGGGGATGGAAGTTGTCCAGGGAGTACACAGATGGGAAGAGGAAGGCCCACAGACAGGATGTGGGAACACTGACTTAAAGGGGGTCCTGGGGAAAGAGACCCATAAGGGAACCTGAGGAGGTTCCTGGTGAGAGGGCAGGGTGGGAGGCAGCCTGGAAGTCCAAGATGTACCAAGGAGGGAGTAGTCGATGATGCCAAGTCACGCGTGCAGGTCAAGCAAGATAAAGGCAAGTTATTGATGAGAGGACATGCTTAGAGATTCTCTTGGCAGGACAGTCTGAGACGAGGAATTGGAGTAGAAACCAGAATGCAGTGGCACGAGGAGCAAGTGGGGAATGAGGAAGACTAGACAGCAAGTGGTAGATCTTGGGAGTTGAGCTGTGGATGGGGAGAGGGCTATGGCAGAGTAGAGACAAATAAGACCAACTGAGATTTCTTTAGGATGAGAGAGGAAAGATCTGGCAAAGAGGGAGATTGTGACAAGACCAAGGAGAGATTGGTGCCACAATGTCCCAGGGCAGCCAAGAGAGGTTGAGGTCTGGACTTGAGCCTGGGGATGGCCTATGGACAGAGGAAGAGAGTGTTTTGTTCTTATAAACTGGATGGATGTAGGTGAAGGTGGGCTCACACCTCAACACAAGTCTGGAGGTGGGTCTGGGCAGGAAGTTGCAAGTGTTCATCCTTCTGGGCCTCAGGGGTCTTAGTGACAAGGGACCAAAGCCATCCAGCTGGAAGAAAGAGAAGGTAGGTCTGGCTTGTGATAGTGGCATGGATGGGGCTCAGGCGACAGTCCATCCTGAGACTCATAAGCCCACCTGGACATGGCAGGGAGCCGAGAGAGAGCAAGCACAGCCTCCACCTCTCCAGCAGAGCAGCCTGGATCGGAGAGCAGGTTCTGCAGCCAGACCACCAGGATGCCTGTCCACCCCCCATCAATTACTAGCTGTATAGCCCTGAACATGCAACTTCCCTTTCTTATGCTTTGATGTCCTCCTCTGTAAAATTAAGATAAAAGCAGAACCTACTTCACTGGGATGGGGTGGCAATTAAATGAGATAATACAAGTTAGGGGGCTTAACAGGTGCCTGGCCATAGGAAGTGGTCAAGAAGTGCTGTGATGTTATAGCATTCTTATTACCAGGAGATTCTCTCCCCCACAATGAGTCTGAGAAGAAAACAGAAACACAATGCATCAACCCAGGAGGAGGAGAATCTGCTCTGGGAGAAACATCTGCCTGCTGGGTAGATCTTGGAGAATGAAATTACTGACAGCACCTCCCCCTTGCAGAAGTGTCCCATTTCAGGCATTAATGACTTGTTCACACTATGCCTGGGCACCAACTGCTTCTCCTTTCTCTTTCTCCCCTCCTGCTCTTCTATCCACCCAGTCTCATTGTGTGGCATGGAATCGGAGGATGTGGGAGGCTCCCCCTGGCATCCTTCTCCCCCATGGGCATAGTACCCTGTACCTCATCTTTAAACCCCAGTCATGAGAAAGGCTCCTCACTCTGGAGGAAATTGCAGGACTCTTCCTTAGGGCTCCTATTTCCAGAACA